GCTAGTGGCGAAGGGTTCGGAGAGTAAATTAGCCCTTAGACACAGTCCACTGAGTTTCTCGTCAGATCTTCTCAGCGGGTCGCGTTTCCGAAGGACAAAAAATCCGTCCGTCAGCTTCCAGAGTAATCTCACCCGCTCGCTGGAAGATTTTGCTTTGGCGTTACCTCGCTAAAGGCGAGGAGTTATTTATTACTAGCTTTTGCCCGCGTCTCCGTCCGCGTGGCATAATTACTTTGGCATAATGCTAAGTTTTCCCCGCCATTTAATTTACGTAGAAAGTGAAAATATTTTTGAAATATATTTAGAATGTTAAGGAGCTCTTTAAGCCCCTATTTTGAAACATTCTTTATTGGTACTCCACTTGTATTGGTGTTACCGCGATGTTATATAGCCTTCCTCAATAAATGGGCTATCTAACACTGAAAGAATTTCAATCAAAATCAAATCGGACCAGTAGTTCCTGAGATTAGCGCGTTCAAACAAACAGACTCTTTAGCTTTATAATATTAGTAAAGATTAACGTTTACCATCTTGTATAAAACCTCAATCGAGATATCACAGACTACTTTCTTACTTGTGAATTGTGAGATTCTTTAATTTACTAAGTTGATTTGACTGATAGAACAAAAAGGAAGAATGATGAATAACCACAGTTCTGTATTTTAATATGCAAGATCAAATTTTTTACGCCTTCAAAACGCTTTCATTGTACTCTACAGAGGTGTAGGAATGCCCTAAGTTGAAAGAATCGAAAGTCAAAATGTTCTTGAAGAAAATATTTCGGGTCCTGTTCCCGATGGATGGGTTGTCGAGCCCATAGCCCAAATGGTGTTTAGTGGTTACCGGAGCCCATAGACACCTACACTTCGAGAATGGGCACCAATTGACAGACAATTGAGTTCTAAGTTCTCCGTTTTCATAGTACAACTGCTGCCACACCCTTCAAACCGAAAGGCATTACTGATTCACGGCAAGAATAGGTAGAAGAAGAATAGGTAGGGTGGTGGTATCTACCCGTGCGGACTCATAAGACGTCCTACCAGTAAAAAGTAAAATGATATTCAAAGATTCGAATTAGCCTTAAACAATTTGATTTACAACAACTTTCCTGAAACCCAAATAGCTGTTCAGTTGAAAATTTTCCAATCCTAATTAGAAAGACATTATTTCATCCATTATGGCAGTCAGAGAGTCGTTGACCTACATTTGTGATAGAGTCGTTATTGAATTATCTTGCGCAACAACTGCATCACGACGCGACGCAGAGTCACCACGATCGAGCTTCGGGACTGCTGCATTCTGCAGTGGGTATCGATCCAGCTTAACCTCGCGATGACGTCATCGAACTTCCTAGCAAGTTACACGTAGTATACATAGAAAATCTTTTATTTCTAGAAGATTCTGTACTGTATTTCTTACTTTTCTATGATTATATCGTGACTGTGACGTAATCTAATAGAGAGTTATCTATTGTAAAATTATCATCACGAATATTTTCCGTGTCCAATGTACAGTAACTTTTTTCCTTAACTAATCATTGATAGCCTAATGGCTATTCTAACTGCGCGCGGAACAATTATGCGGATAGTTCTTTGGGAGTAAACGCTCACTTCGATAAAGCGACACGACACGAGAACCCTCTCATCGTGGCCGCCGGTAACTACATTCCCGATCCTGCGGACAGAATGGAAAGCAGTCGACGTCCCCCAAACCCGTCATTTCGGATCCTCCCGTTCCAATAAAGGTGCTTTTAGGTACCCCAAGCACCGGTCATCGTTCTCGCCGAACCCGCCGCTTGCAACGAAGGGCTCGGCGAATAAATTAAATCACAGACACAGCCCACTGAGTTTCTCGCCGGATCTTCTCAGTGGGTCACGTTTCCGATCCGGTGGTAGCTTCTGCGAAGCACATCTCTTGCTACGGTTTGTGATAGCAACGTCGTCAGGTTTGAGCCCCGTGAGCTCACCTACTAATTCGGTGAATCTAGAATAACCCCTCGAGGTTACGAGGTAGGAAAAAAAAGCGGACGGGTAGGTGCGCTCGCAAACTCAACCTGAGAGAATTTGCTAACACTAGCCCCAGCAAGAGCAGTGCTTCGCAGAATCTACCATAGGATCGGAAACGCGACCCACTGAGAAGATCCGACGAGAAACTCAGTGGGCTACTCTTTTTATGTATGGTGCAATGATTTTCCAGATGAAATTTATTGTGCGCCGGAATTATGGAAGATAACTTTTGTCAATATGAGTTCAGAGTAATAGGTACTATAGTGCTACAGTTAATTTAAATGATGCTATCCTCAAAACTACTTTTCCCTAAACTTTACACTGTGACGATTTTAATAATTATTAAAAGTATTTACTTTAGCGTTGCGTGACATGAGTCGTCATAATATTTATAATAGTTTAAAGTCATCGAAGAATGTGGACTGAATGACAAATGTGTTTCCTTATTGCGTCGTCTTGAGTACAATTATGTTTGTGCGCCACACGAATTGTTTGAATAGCTAAAATGTTTGGTCAAGTCCTTAATATTGATTCTCGTGTGTATCTATAACAAGAGTTACTACGTTCTTCGATAACATGTCGATATTATGTCGAAATCGGTTGAAATATCGGTATGAATATTGATCGGGTGGTGATAGGACCTCTTGTGAGTCCGCGCGGGTGGGTACCACCACCCTGCCTATTTCTGCCGTGAAGCAGTAATGCGTTTCGGTTTGAAGGGTGGGGCAGCCGTTGTAACTATACTTGAGACCTTAGAACTTATATCTCAAGGTGGGTGGCGCATTTACGTTCTGGATGTCTATGGGCTCCAGTAAACACTTAACACCAGGTGGGCTATTAGCTCGTCCACCCATCTAAGCAATTAAAAAAAGTTTTTTCTTTTCACAAGCATAACACTTATTATTTAAGTTCATATAAATCCAAATGTGTCATAAAATATCAGATACAGTCATTCTATGTACTATTCAAACGTGCTTTACAGAAAATGTTGTGGATAGAAAATTGTAACGGCTAATACATAACATACTTCCTTACAACCTATTACAATGTTATAAATGTGCATGATCTAATAGTATTGTGATTCATATATTTTTAGAATACATTCATGAGATTTTTCTTTATGCGATCACTTACGATTACTATTTAACTATGATCTTTAATTATTATTTTTTAAGGTTTTATGGTATTGGTAACGCGACGTTTAAGCCGTATATTTTTAATGTTGATCATCTGAATGATGGGTTAATGAAATACTGCGAATGATAAATTATGCTGTGCTGAGCAACCTTTACGAAGTAATTTTTATATCATCTATGGTTAGAATCATGTCGTCTATTAAACCCTAGAATAACATTTATACTGTGACTGTCTAATTGACAGATGACGTAACACTTTTTTTTTTCTTTTTTAGCTTGCACTGTTTGTACATTTAGCCACATACAAGGGTAAAGACGTAATACTTAACCCGGTGGTTCTAGGTTTTAGAGATTACAAAACCACCGAGCCATGGTAAAATATTGCGTAGTATAATATTTTTTAAGGCTTTTAACTTTGTAAATAGTATAAGTGTACTCTATAGTCGTATAGGGTATAAAGTAGCATGTGGTTAATTATTTTAGAATTCCAAGTTTGAAGTGGTAGAAACCACATACCTAGTCTGTAGGTATAATAACTGAATCCAACAAATGCAAACATTTTGTGTCCGTAATTGTTGCTAATGTATTACTTTCATTTTATTGCCAATGGCGATATATGGGGTTTTTCATGAGCACCCAAGAACATTCGTAACCTTATAATGTGTAGACATATTAGACCTTGTAGACCTACTGATACTTCATCTTCCGTAGTGGTTTCATCTCCTTTACAAAACATTCCTCCTAATTCCTATGAAAATTATGTGCTGGTAATATTATGTAACCACCCTTCTGCACATTTCGATCGTAAAGCAATACATTCTGCAATATGCTTTCGGATTTAAGTGATAGTTACGGATATTAAACCAATGAAATAGAGATATCGTTCTCATGTCATTTCAAGGTAAGGAATTCATGTTGGTTGGACCTATGATCTCCGGTAATCAATTAATATAGTATAGGGAGGGCACTTCTGGCCATTTGATCATAACGCAACACGGTTACCTACCTATACCTATGCTCGATACAGCGAAGTCATATTCCGTCGCAACAACAAAAAAACATACGACGCAAAATATGTAAAATACATCAACTCTAGTGATATAGACAGTTCTTGAACTAACGCAAAATACGTAAAATATGTAGATCAACTCTAGTGATTAGACAGTTATTGAACCGTTTGCCAGTGGAACAAAAAAAAATAGATTTCGTAAATTCAAGAGGGTATTGAAGTTGTCAGTTTTATGTATTCGTCATTTGTCATTCGTAATAAAAATTTATTCCCGGTCGGTAGGTAGCTGCGATTTGAATGATTTGATCGTGGTCCATACGTATATGACATTATACATAAATATACCTATTTATGTACCTATGTAAGGAATATATCACAGAAGTCAGATCAGATCAGGTAGTAATAGTTACCTAATCGTTTCGATGGAATAGTTGAGTAAAACGAATCGTTAAAGTTAATTTTATAAATAATATTATTCTAAAGGGTCTTACCACGATTTTTAAATTTAAAAATCTTGAGCTCATTAAAATTAAAATCGTGGTAAGAGCATTTTAAACACAAATAATAGTGCGCATAGTTGAATTGTTTTAATCTTGTTTTATTTTTTAAATTATGATACATAGCAAAACTACTCCTAATATCTACCTGATTCAATTGGTAAATTTATTATACTTATTAATTACGACGAGCATATTTTTTGTAATTTCATACGGACCTACCGAGATGAAACGAAATCTACGTAAAAATGAGACATGCTTACATGCAAACCTAATAGCACTTCAAAAATAAACTTACGTTTATTCATCATTTAATTATGTAATTAAAACAAAAATGTATTCCGAACTTTACCTGCGATTCCGCTGAACATTTTTGCGTTTTATTTATAAAAAAGCACAACACGTTTATTAAGATCACTGAATAATTTTCACCGGCTCTTTTAAATTTTTCTATACTTTAGCAATACCGAGATCGGACTGCCGACGACACTGCGGTTGAAATGCGGCGATCGAAATACCTCCAAGGTTCAACTGACTGTCGACGAATCACGAATAAACTATACTTTCAAAGCCGATCCCGACTCGAGAGACGTATTTTTATCTATTACGTCATCGCGGGCTGCGTTTTGTTCTTGCAAATAATGTTCTCTAAAGCTTTAAAAAATAAAGTAAATACTTTCTAATTTTTAAATTTGTTATTACTACATTTATTACATTGATACAAAAATACATGCTTAAAACCTTTGTTTTTTTTAAAACTAAAAATAGTAAAATCTACTAAAATAGTAGAAACACGACGTTCTGGTAATGTTAAATGTTGGCCTCTAAATTCTAAGAAAAAGTACACGGCAAAGAGAACGCATTGATGTCCACAATCTATGGCCTGAAAAGTTTCTTTTGTGATTTTTAGCATACGGTACTTATGTAGTCGTGTTACGGATGCCTTTCGCAACAAAACAGACTGACATATTACGAGTACCTTAATAATAGGGCGCCGTTGCCTAGCAACACAATAAAAATGTCAACAAAACTAAACGCTTCGCTAACAGACTGACGTTTGATTCCGTTTGATCAATATTACCAAATCATTAACTATATTATGGTGTTATGTTCGTGAAATGTCTAAAGAAAACGCGAACCTGCGTTTGTTGGGGTCCCCTGTGAATTTAACATATCGTAGTAAGAGGAAAGACGATAGGAAGAACATAAGAAACAGACCACGATCGGCGCTACAGAATTCCTGTATTAGTCCGGTACGGTTTTAAATTAATAAGCTTCATTAAATGAATGAAAATGATTCGATTAAAATTAATATACGATGTTAACTAAAGTTGCGTAAATAAACGCTTTTTTTATTATTGCCTTTTCTGCTGCTATTGCCCACAATATCGAGTTATAATGCCTAGAAGCCAATAGGCAATTTTGTCAAGGCAGTATATCTTACAGAAAAAAAACTCATTAGTTACTTAATTTTAAATTTTATCTTCTAAAGTACATATAGCGCCATCTATCGATAGAGTTATAAATTAACGCTGCATCATCCACCTTTCTACCTACTTGACTAAAAGGAACTGCTACATACATGTAAATATTTATTTATTATTGTTGCAGGAACATCAAGAAAGATTTAGGAGACCGTTCTCCGCGGACGCGAAAGGGCGAGCTCCTTCCACTAGAAGTTTCTTCAAGACATTCAGTGCGGAATTACTGCAATCATATAACAGTAATTTATCATTTTATTTTTAACAATGTTTGCCTACGTTTGCCGCTAGGGGTGCTGTTCCAACTGCATGATATAGATTTGAGTTAACTTTTACTCTATCGAGAACGTTAAAAATCTTGCACTAAGCACATAGGTTTAGTTGAAGAGGCGACAATTAGCCTATTGCCTCGTACACCTGTTCTTTCTGATCTTAGCACCTGGGATAGACGGATGTTGTACATTCGCGTATTAACTTAGCTACCCACATTTTGTCATTTCTATTTAAAATCATGAATTGTTGAGAATTGTATTTTGTCTCGAAATTTCTAATTCTTGATTATTTCAGATTCAATAACGCCAATAAAAATTGTAGCACCAACGCTCGATTTATTGACGAATGGAAGTGCACGCGAGAAGCAAAACGTAAGAAAGGATCGAGAAATTTGCAGCAATGCTTCTGATTACGGTTCGGAAGACACGTTCATAAGTCTCGGAACTAAAATAAAAGCGAGAGCGCAATTGAGCCCCAAACCCAAAGTAACGAACCCTAAAAACCTGCTAAAGTACAGGAATATTGCTAAGAAAGCTAGTAAAATGGACAGTCCGATTAACGAAGAAAATAGTAGATCAGAATATTCAATGGAAGTGAAGATAACTGAGAGAACACCGTCTCCGGAGAAGAACAAGAATATGTACCGCGACAGAAGTCTGTCTCCTCCTAAGACTAGGTCTTACGAATCTTATTTCATTCCTTTAGACGGAGGAAGAAAAGAAAACGAAGATATTGTCGGGAGGGTTTCTTTCAGCTCGAACGTACAGTCTGAAGTTGCAGATGCGATTGATTCGTATTCTCGTCGTCTGAATTTAACGAAACAACAATTGTCCTTGGTAGAGGAAGAATGCACACAAGATTTGGATACTCTGCCATCGCATAATCTATCAAGTCTATCGCCTGAAAATTCTCTCGAAGATGCTAGAGGTCACGATCATATTGATACGGCAAGAGGCAACGACTTGATGGATGAAATTCAAGGAAACGAATACAGCGAAGCATCAGCAATGCTTGTGAGTGAACCTAGAACTTATACGAGCTTTTACGACGATATCAGTAATGGCGCTTATAAAAATAAACTTTCGAGTACCATTCACACCGACTCGTCGTCCAAGGATTCAGGATATCCGGACAGCGCAATCAATGACGATAAATGTTATCGTCAGAATTATTCGCTGCCAACAACGACCTTACACGAAAAGGCTATTACTCAAGAAAAGTTAGAAGATCAACCAAAAAGCCTTGATAGTACGTCATCATCCGGCAACGGGAAGGTTTATCATAATACACTTTCATTGGATAAGAGGAGACAATGGACAGAACCATTAAACCACAGCCGATTGCTGTACAAAGATTTCTTTTTGCAAAAAGAAGGACACGTTGCCTTGCCTCCACAAAATTCGCCAAATAAAGATAAAGTGATTAACGATTCTAACACTAAAAACATGGAAGATGCAAAAGATAACGAGTTCGAAAACGAGAACGAGTTAGAATATCCTACGTATCTTCTAAACAGTACTACAAAAGCTTACACTTCAAAAGTAATAGAGGATTACAGACGAGAACTGCAAGCTATAAATAATTTACATGAATTGACAATTAAAGATATTAAATGCGATGCTATATCCCCTACTCCTTTGAATATTGACAAGATGTTTGAAGATAACAGTAACATTGGTGACAGAAAAAGAGAAAACACAAGTTATTCAGAAGTGCAGACGATTTATTCCCCGGCTAAGACTAGAAACGATTTAGATATGAGGAAACGAGATATTTCAAAAATATCTACGAAAGAATTGATTCAAAATTACTTTAAAGTTAAAGATGGAGATATTAAAGAAAACGCGTCAAAAGTTTTGAAAAAGAAAGTTACTAACCTGAGATCTAAAGACGACAATTTAGGGTACAGACACGAATGGAATAATAAAACTAGATCCACTACAAACCAGAATATATCAGTTATAAGAAATCAAACACAAAAGAGTTTGCCTACTGCAAAGATTCCATCTAGTGCAAGAATTGAGGGGATAGAAAATGATAAAGACGTGGAATCTTGGATGTCTTTGTCGGCTCCTTCGCCAAGAATACTAGAAGTCGACAGGGAGGAAGTTCTTCCTGAAGAACCAATGAGATCTGAGCCTTTGATTAGTAACGAAAATAATATAGTAAATGAAAGAGTTGCCTCATCTAAAACAACTAGTCCAAGAGACAAGGATTCGTTCAAAGTGAAAGAACTGAATTCGAACTCAACTGTTTTAGATATATATTCAATGTTGAAAGAGATTGAGAACTGTGGTGATAATCCCGTGACGACTGCTTTGAAGAATCAAGACGATGAAAAGGCGAATAGCAATACAGAAGAAGAGACGCCACTACCAAAGGATAATTTCATGTGAGTTTCTTCATTTGAACAATATATATTTATAATGATAATTTATTTGCGTTATTCCTGCTTTGTTTAGACAGAGAGCAATCAAACCTATTCGTCACATGAAGGTTTGTCCGACTTAGGTCCAGCAGTTAAAGGCGCTAAATACTGGGCTCTTAGCCACCACAAGCAATTACCCTACAAACCAGAACGCGTGACTACTTCACGGTAGAAATCAATGGCACACCGGTGCGGGCTAGTAAATGCTGGCTAACGATTGCAGTACCCTGTTATAATATTTAGAGTTCAGTGCTGCCCAGTCTCTATTGAATTCCTTGCTCGCCTTTTACACCACCCACGAGAAGAGATAGGGTGGTACTGTTTTAACCTGAGTCCTAAATAAACCCTTAATTACTATCTGAATCGCTTCCCCGGATCGTATGCTTAATTAACATTTCGAATGCTTTTAAGTTTAGCTTTGAACAACAGAAATAGCCTTGCAACCGTCATAACGTTTATATTTTCTTTTTTTTTTAAGAAATTTTATGACCTGGTAACTAATACCTTTAAGTCATGTCTTATTTATATTCTATTTTTTATGAAAAATGATATTATAGAGTGAAATGAAATGAAATGATATGGGATGCAATATAATCTCAGTAAAATGGTGGTCATTTACTGAGATTTTTTCAGTGGACTTTTTGGAGGATCCCGACAAGTTACGTCCAGCGGCTTTGTTTCATTTTCCCACATTTGTGCACTTTTACAGATATTAAACAGTTAATAAACCACCGTTGTTACAAATTTAAACCTGAAGAAACACTAAATGAACAAAATAAAACAAATTACACAACTTCACTCCTCGCGTTCCCGCCAAAAAGTCTTATATTTTCTTCCGGCGAATTTCATATTGCTATATAAGTACAGGAAATCATGTATCAGAAGGCACGACACAGTCAAATTATTCTTCGATTAACCTTAATGTAGTAGTAGTAGTACAGGATCTATTTGTTTATTCCAGGGAAATATTTCAGTTTCTGGAGAAGGTTGAACAGAGTGCGAACGATGCGTTATCCGTCGTGACAAGCAGCGCGCCACAAACTGTTCCCAAGTAAGAGCACACAAAGAAACATTGATGATTAAATAGAAGATACACTACACGTTTGAAATTCCGGGCACAGCTCGTCTATACTTCTATACTAATATTATAAAGAGGAAAGATTTGTTTGTTTGTTTGTATTGAATAGGCCCCGAAACTACTGAACCGATTTGAAAAATTCTTTCACTGTTTGGAAGCTACACTATTCCCGAGTGACACAGGCTGTAATATTTTTTGAAAAAAATTAGGGATCCTTACTAAAACTCCAATAATGTAATCCAAGGTGTAAAAAAATTACCTAAAACATTCTTTACATTGCGTGCCCTGCGAAAACTATTGATGATAGAATAAAATAATGTGCTACTACTTTGTAGAACACATTATTATTTACAAAAAGTATCGTGACAGCATATGTCTAACTATTATAGTTGTGCCGCCATAAGTGTTCTTTTATTTTAAAAATAAAACAACCTCAAATATCATTGAAATTTTTGTTGACCCGAGCGGAGCCGGAGCGAGCTTAATAAAAGTACTGATTGTAACATTGATAGTAGGGCGTCTTGTGAGTCCGCACGGGTATTTACCACCATCCTGCCTATTTTTGCAGTGAAGCAGTAACGCGTTTCGATTTGAAGGGTGGGGCAGCCGTTGTACTGTAAAAACTGAGACCTTAAAACTCATGTCTAAAGGTGGGTGGCGGCATTATGTTGTAGATGTCTATGGGCTCCGGTGATCACTTGCCAGGTTAACCGTGGGCTTGTCCACCCGTCTTAGTAATCATTATATTGTAGGTTGGAGTCCCTGCTAAAACTGTCACAAACAGAACTCGCGCAAAGACTGGTGACATCTTCTCTACAGTTGGAAGAGAGATCCTGCTGCATCGCCCTGCTGCAGGAGAGCTTGGCCAATCACAAGGAACAGGTGCTGTATATAGATTAGTGAAAACACACCTCTTTTCGGCGCGACTCACGGAATAATAAACACAAATACATTTTAGGTATTGCAGTGTTTACACCATAGATTTCACAATAAAAAAATAATATAGACAAGACATTAACAAGATTGTTGTCTTACAAAATTTTTTTTTGTGTAATATATGATTACCAAAGTGCATAGACTCCTCAAGGCACCAGTTGCATCTTTGGGACCGAACCGTAAGACTGCTCCGCGGCAGAAATAGTCAAAACGGCCATACCTATGTACCCGTGCCTCACAATACCGCCCTACTACTACCACCAGTAATTACTCACAAATTTTAGGATGTGATTCCCACATCCGGGTCGTAGCTTAGTGTTCGGTGAATAAAAGACTCTCTACATTAGAGATGTCAAACAATAACAAATCTTGAGCACCAATTGAATAATATATAGAATAAACCGGTTTTATTGTAGGTATCAGTTTTGAAAAAATAAAAAGGATAAAAGTGATTTAAAAAAATTATAAGTAAATCATAGTGTTAAATCATAATTTTTGGTACATAAAATAGAATTGATTCAGGGCTGACAGCAGTGCTCTGTAACCTGTGTCTGTGTGCGAAAGTTTGTATCTCATTATTCTTGGTATTATTTCAGATGATACAGAAAGTGAGCAATTTGGAGAAGCAATCGATCAGAAACATTAACAAAGTGAAGCAGGAATGCGAGGACACCATTAAAAGACACCAGAACTTCATTGACCAGGTAACACGACTGGCATATTTCATTATTATTTTTTATTATTTTTTCCTACTTATGCTGGTTACATAGAGGGTTATGCCCGCGTCATCGAGCGAGTAGGTGAGCCCATGGGGCTCTAACCTAAAGACTATGCTAACACTAGCCCTAGCAAGAGCAGGGCTTCGCTGAATCTACCACTGGAACAGAAACGTGACCGAGAAGTTCCGACGAGAAACTCAGTGGACCTATTGTTGAAGTGGTGCTCATGTACATTTGTGAATCAAAATTACGAACAGCAGGTAAATTTTGAAAAACCATTCTGACGCCGTAACAAGAGAGTCCATGGGTCTAGATGGGCTGCGAGCTCATTCACCCGTCTCTGCAATAAAGTATATCGACGTTTGAAAGGCAAACGTGACTAAGCGACAATAACTGCTTTGTACATCAATGATAGGCAATAAGCATATTCGATGCGCAAAAAATATATATTTCTAGGTCTATTAAAATCATTTCAATCCTACAGCTAGATTCGTTAAAATATAATTTTTTTCAGGTATTTCAACTATAGTCTACTGTAAAGTTCACGCATTGTCGCTTAGTCACGTTTGCCTTTCAAGCGTCGATATGTAAAACAAATAATTGTTTCAGTTGATAAATGACAAGAAAACCTTGAACCACCGCATCGAACAGCTCGTGGACGAGCGTCGCTCGGCGGAGGAGCGGTGGAAGCGAGCTGCACAGACCCTCGAGGAGCGGTACAAGCTGGAGCTGAGGAACCAGCACGACAAGATGGCGGCGGCGCAACAGGTCACTCGGGACTTACTTATAAAAGGAAAGGTTTTCGAGGAGAAAGGAAAGGAGGAAGGAAAGAAAGCGGGCGTCAATAGCGAAGTTTCATTAATTGCTGTGGATGAGCGGATAATCACGTTATCGTAGTCCCAGGACATCGCAATATGAATGCCGCCATACATCCAATAAAATTAGTTCACTGTTGCACTTTTATTGTTCTCTTCCAAAATCTTCTCTCTCATTATAATTAAAAATTGACCGACACTTTTTTTACGCCTTGCTCATTCAAATCATCTTCGCTATTTCGCTTTTTTCTGTCACTTTTTTCCATTCTTACCGTGTTTCCATTCTTACTCACATCTTAAGGTTCCATTCCACACTCTTTTCATACGTTTTGTTCTTACCAATCCTACATAAATTTGTACATTAATGCACGTATTAATGTCCGTAGGTGGCGAGACAGCGCTGGGTCCGACAGAAAGCTGAGAAGATTAAGGTATTTTGAAAGCATATTTTGGGGAATTTGGTTTCATTTGCCAATTTTAACAACCATTCTGAGGATTTTGATCAATATAATATTATAGTTAATGGTGGTAGTGTGCATTCTGACTCCGAAATATAGGTCCCATTATTTCGTTTGTTCCTATAGCATAAACACCCGCGCTTGTTTGAAGAGTTTCTCTTTTGCGTCATATCCTATCGTAATTATTTTAAGACGCGGGCTAGATTTTCTATTGATAGTCCACCGCCTCAATACTATACAGCACCACAAAATAGAGGAACCTTTACGTTTTTCATCTGTTACAACACAGCAAAAAAGCCTGTATGTGTTCCTTAGGAACTTACTGTCAAGGGCTTAGAAGGGGAACTCAGAGAAATGGCCGACCGACAGCAAAAAGAGGTGTCCGATCTGAAGATGTTTCACGCGGAGCAGATCGGTAGGAGTCAGGCGAAGCACGCACAAGAACTTGAGGAGTTGAGGAGATGTCTCGAGGAAGAAAAGGAGGCGGCGTTGCTCAGAGAGAGACAGCTGGCTAGTTCTAGGTAAGATTGAGTAATATTACATATTCTAAATTAACAATTACGTTCAGATTATTGCGTGTCAGACATACTTCCGAAGACACCATGTGTCGAAAAGCGTAAATGCGCCACACACCTCGAGATATAAGTTCTAAGATCTCAGTATAGTTACAGTATAAAGGGCAGCCGTTGTAACTATACTATACTGAGACCTTAGAACTCATATATCAAGGTGGGTGGCGGCATTACCGCTGTAGATGTCTATGGGCTCCTGTAAACACATACCACGTGAGCTGTGAGCCCATGCACCCTATTCAATAAAAAAAGTGTTATATCGTGAATCGAAAATGCGTTCCGAATTGAAGAGTTGCTTCTATCTTATGTGTTTGAATACCTACTATCAGTGGCCAGAATGGTCCTGACTTCATTGAGTAGGTATGTAGGCGAACTCACGGGGCTCAGTTTGAGAGACTTTGTTAACAATAGCCCTAGCAAGAGCCGTGCTTAACTGAATCTAGCACCAAATCGAAAACGCGACCCACTGAGAAGATCCTGCGAGAAACATGGTGAGCTGTACGTGTGGGTTAAATAGCATACCGAACCATTCTTCGCATTCGACGAGAAGGATCACGCTTATGTCTGAAAATCTGTAATGACATTCTCACTGGACGTTGACAATCATCCACATTGAGTTGGTTGCAATGGGCTTGGGTGGGAGTTGGTACATTGAAACTCTGATGTGAATCCCCCCAAAGTAACTCAATAGCGCTACGATATTTCTTTCTTGGACGCCGGCGACTAATTTTTAACGCTCGGACTAAATTTTCAACAAACTTTCAACAAACAACAAATTGCAATTTAAAATAGGCATTATTTTCAAAATCTCTTCTATGATATTCACACTGAAGTATGAAATCTATGGAAATGAAACGTCAACAAAAATGCTTGCCACTGTGACGTCATCTGGCCGCTAAACATGGCGGTTTTAGTGCTGCCCAGAAGATTTTAATGTTATTAGGTTTTATCGATAAATGTTTTTGGCTCATTTTATTTTAAATATTGTTGAGTATTAATTATTTGTAGAATTTATACTTTAACAGGAAGTAAGTATATTGTTATGTGCAAAGATGATGTGATTTAGATGTGTAAAATCTAAGACAAGTAAACGATATGACGATTTTTAAAAGTTGCTACACTGATTTTATAAAGTTGTCGTTTGACAACTCAGTGACCGCAAAAGATAAACATATAGCGTAGTACTGTGCCATCTGCCCATTTCTAGCATGCTAAACGTTATCGTCGTTTCGTATGTTGCGGTCTCGCTCGCACTTGCGTATGTGTCGGAAAGGGATGAAAGCTTTACCCCCTGGCCACAGTCGAGAGCGGTGCGAATTGTGGCGCGTCGTGAGGCGCGGCAAGCGAGAGCGGCGAAAAAAATGATAGACAGCCTATGAAGTATGCCACAGCTACCAGCGACGCGACTTACGGCGCGAATTGCGGTGTGGCGAGAGGCGCGTGACATGCGGCGGCGACGAGCTGCGCGATGTGCGATGTGCGAGTGAAACAAATGTACTAGTCAATATCGAGGCGGCCACAGCTCAGAGCGGCACGCGTGGCGGCGGTGTCGGTGGACGCATTGAGGCATCGCGCGACTAAAACAAACCATTTTGTTTTTACCGCGCGTTGAGCTAATAAAATATAATGGATGTGGAACAATTCATTAATGAAAATACTGAGTGGACCAGAAATATGGATGTCAAAACATCCACATCATAAATATAGGCATGCTATAAAAAATGTGGGACGAAATAAAACAACAATTTTCTGGTAGTAGTGGTTTCATAGATACTCTTGGATAGGATTATTGAAATAAAATTTGAAATTTGAATTGATTTCGTGTTCTAGATGCTTGAACCGTTGCTCGATTCGTCTTGATCTGCGTACGCTATTGTGAATATTGGAGTCTCCAAACTGGCAAACAAACTACTGAAAATCTGCATCTCTGTCTCTATCTCTTTCTCTTATAATATTGTGTAACAGGCACGAAACCTTTATAATCAATGTCGCATGCTTATTGTTTGCCTTTACACGTTTCGTAAAAATACAAAAATTAGTTAGAGTACCGAACGCGTACTGAATTGTGACTCTTGCCCGGGATAATCTTTTGTCGAAAATTATTTATACCGCATTTAAACCACCCAGTGGATATGGGCGCATCAAATAATTTTTAAGAGGATAGGCTTCACGTACACGTATGGCGAATTAAAATTTGAACCTGGTAATCTTTGTGAAGGTTGAATCTATTTTCTATTAATAATCTATTTATCGGGATAGTTCTTATATTCTTAATAAATAGTGTGAAATTGGCCAAGTTTTCTCCTTTTCTAACTGGGTGCGCTTCTATTATTGATTGAATAATATCTTCAGTTAATAACGCACTTATTTCAAGGTAATATCGTGCCACTTTTGATAGGGACATTTGATAGGGCTCTCTAAATACGTGCAACTCTGACGCCGCCGCCGTCGCAAATAGTCTAGCTGTGGCATACCCCCGCAAATCGCGCCGCCGCGCTGCACCATTTGAATCACTCTCACTTGAGTGATTCAAATTTTAAACTTATTAAGGGACCGCGTGGTAAAAAAAAATACCTATAGAACATTTATTTAATTACAAACGTCATTCCTTGTGACTTCCTCTCTTAAATCACTTCATTATTAAAAATTTAACGAATTTACAATAGTGTTTTACTCACTACGGAATAAAACTATTTTATTTAAATAGTTCCGGAGAGATTTTTCGGTAACCTTTTTCTCTATATATTCCTTCGAAATATCTAAACAGAATGTCTAAATGTTTTGATGACACATTTTATTAAGAGGTATTTATGATTAGTGTCATGATCAATAGATTCCGACCGAAAAATGGTGATCGATTTTTCGGATGAGTGCTCTATAACGAATTTAAATACATATAGATAATAGTTTTGGGGCATCGACTATCTTGAGATCCTATAAAATATGTTTTTATTATTATTTTTGTACGTCTTAAGCGGGACAGCATAATAAAATAAGAAATTTTATATAAGCAATCATATTAAATCGATATCAAAGTCAATAAGTAATGTACAACCCAAAACAGACGGCTGAACTCACGACTGACGTGACAATGACATTTGGTGCGCTAAACATGGCGGATTATCGGCCTCATTAGACATTTACCGTAACATTTTACGGTAAACTTTTTACGGATTTTTATTGATGATCACTTTGTTGGTGCAACTAAATGAATTAATTAATTAAAACCAAGGAGTGCCAGCCCTAGCAGATTTCTCTATTAACACAAATTTCGTCCCCAATAACCGCAATTGCGGGGTAAATAGGGATAGCACCTATTTTTGCTTTTTTTGCTTAAACTGGAATGCTAATTGCATAGCTTTAAATTAGATAACAAAGATACCCCCAAGACTCAATCATTTTGATCCTGATATAGCATTTTAAACATCAACAACTACCCTCAAAATTGTTCATCAATTTGGAATTTGTCCCTAATCACCCCGTTATACCGGTACGTATATGTTCATGTTTCATTTTATCTACGCATCGAAATACTGTTAAATTGTTTTCCTGCGAGTTACAGTGCTGAGTAAGAACGAGATTGATATATGTTTGTGTGTGCCTTTAAGATGGGTGCTATTTGTATAAGCAATTGTACAATAATACACCATGTGGGCTGTGAGCTCGTCCACACATCTAAGCAATAAAAAAAAAATAAAAAAAACTTGTAGAACAATATGTCGTGTCCCTACTATATAAGTCTATGGATATTCAGAAGTATCTATTAAATTAACAAAATATCATATTTCTGTAGAAAATAAAGGTTTTCATGCAATAAAATGAAATTTAAATTTTAAGTTTCTATTTCGCGCTAAAATGCTGTTCAGTGTCATGACCATAGATTATACACTTAAGTCATGACGTCTGTTAATACGTCACGGCTCAGTAAGCTTCAGTATGTCAATTTCATGGAGTTATTAAGTCAATTTATAGCAAACACTAAATGCTTGTTTATTAAATAAAGTTGTTTTGCATAGATTATACACTTAATATATTCGTTATTTTGCTTATCAAATATGCATTCAAAAGTGTATAAGTGCTGCGTGGTCCCTCGGTGCACTAATACATCTATAAAAACTCCGAAAAAGTTATTTATTTACGTCCCAAATAACAAAACAATGAGATATAAATGGTTGACTCTTGCACGGCGAGATCCAACAGGTTTAAGTCTAAATACTTCAATTTATTTCTGTGAAGATCATTTTGATGTAAGTTTGTGCCTATTTCGTAAATTCTACAGTGATGTGTGACCTAAAATTTCATAAGTTCAATATTTTCTGATATTATCGTTTATCTCTTGAATAACGGGTAATCTTTATTTCAATGAGTGCTTTATTCATTTTCCAGTTACCACATGATATGGACAATTATATGGAATATCATGTAATGGGATCGGTGTCGCAGGTTCGCATGAAACCAGGCTGTATTCCCACAAAATTTGAATGCCAGATAGTTAAAAGAAAACGAACACCTAATACAAAAGAACGACCGTACAATGTCAAGAAACTAAGACGGGCACTAATTAAAGAATTTGAAATAAAATTGGAGAAAAAAAGCATTACTAAAAAACATTTAGAGCTTGGAGAACCTTCATCCAGCGGTTCAGGTAACTACTTATCTGTTTATATTTCAATATATTATAGATTAATTTCATTTATTATACTATTTACCATAATTTATCAAATCAGACAATAACCATTAAAATCATTGTCTGTTATCATACATACCTAATATTTTAACCCGCTAAAGCATTTATTATGGAAAAAGTAAATTATAAAATATCTACTAAATACATTGTCAACTTTGTTTGATTCATTGTTTGTAAAAAAAAGTGCAGATTGTATTTACCTAGGTATGTTCTTTAATCCTGCATTTTATTTGTGTCTAATAACTTGCTATTTTTACTTTTTAGTTCTGCATGACAACACAGTAGAAGATTTACCAGAAAACATTGCCTCGAGAACTACTGATAGGTCTATTCAAGTATTTATTACTCACAAGTTCAGAAGTAAAGCCGTTCAAACAGAAAATAAATTAATAAATCAGATGACATCACCCTTGAAACCTAATACCCATTCTGTTTTTTCATCACCATTTAAAGTTACAAGAGGCAATTTCACGTCGCCATGGACATTATGCCACATTACATAAACCTTCAAGGCAAATATATCCCCCTGAAGATCTGATTTTTTCCATACCTGTGCTGATAACCTTGAGAGGCTATTTCAGCTTCACTAACATGTAGGTGACCTCACGGGGCTCAAACCGGAAGTGTTGCTAATAGTGGCCCTAGCAAAAGCAGTGTTTCGCAGAATCTACTATTGGATTGGAAACGCGACCCACTGAGAAGATCCAGCGAGAAACTCAGTGGGCTTTGTCTATGGGTTAAATCGCTCGTCGAGCTTGTGTTGCCCAAAGGCACTGTTAATGGATCCGCCAATCTGATAGTGATACTTCTTTTACACCATCTGTAATGCACAGAGAATCATCACTATCAACAATATCTCTCCAAATTTAATCTATATCAGACTGCGGTGACATGATACAAGATGATAAAAACCAGGTGGCAACTAAAATTCTGGAATGTACTTTGGTTTAAATTACAAAGAGCCGGCGTTCTTACATTGGAGTTCCCAAAAGCTGTTATTACTTAATTGATTTAATAGAAAAACATACTAATATTCCTTCTAACAATATACTCATGTGTCTAAAGAAAATTAGATTAAATAACCCATTTAGAGAGCTTGCTGATGGCTTTTGTGGAACTTCTGTTGTGGAAATGGTAAACTACGATTATAAAATGTATTTTAGCGACAGGTAAAGCGAAAACAATAGTTTTTTTTTATTACAATTGCAGTAATCGCGCGTAAGTTCAAACGAAACAAGATGACGCTTACTGAGACGTGACGTATAATTCGCTCTGATTGGTGTTTAAGCTATAATGGCTGATTGTTGTATTTTGTAGATTTATTTTAACAAATAAATCATAAATCTCGTCATTAATTTAAGAATAAATACATTTTACAAAATCCTTAAATCCTGTTTCATTAGATTTGTTAAATATTTTGGTGATACTTTACTTCTGTCATCATGCCTATTATAAATAAAATTGACCCCCTTGCTCTAAAGGCGAGTTACGCTCACCACATGATTTATCTAATTACAAACAAAAGAACTATAAGAACAGATGATGTCAAAAACATAAACAAGATAATAATAATCAAATAAAGTAACACAACTAGTTTACCCACATACCACCAAATTCCACACCAAACTAAAATATTGAGACCCACCAATCGATTGCAAAGGGTCAAAAACACAATGTTCGATAAAAATTTTGTCAGTTTAATTTAGAACCATTTGCCCTTTCGTCAACTATATGGATAATAAACTTGTCTGTAGATTAGAAAAGCAGATACTCGAAATAGAGTTGACGTACCAAGAACAAAGGACTCGTTTGGTCGCCGAGATAAGAGCGGAGAACGAGAGAATCGCCGCTGAACTTGCTGAAAAGGAAAAAGCTCAAAGAAATGAGATTGGTATGTTTATTTAATGACTTTAGCACGGACGAGGTATTCACTGCGTATGTACCTACTGCTATTGGAACCAACCGATATCTCACCCTTTAAACTGTAACGCATGTTTCTTACTGGTGGTAGGACGTCTTGTGAGTCCGCAAGGGTAGTTACCACTGCTCTACCTATTGCAGCAGTGCAGCCATTTTCTGTCTCTTCCAGTAACCTCTAGGGGTTATAATAGATTCCGATTCAGAGATTCAGAACGAGAAGGTGAGCACGCGGGGCTCAAACCTGACGAATGCGCGCAGTAGTAATGCACATACCCGATCCTGTAGACCGAATGATAAACAGTCGACGTCGCCCAAAACACGTCATTGCGGATCCTCCCGATCCATTAACGGTGCTTTAGCACCGGTCACCGTCCGAGCGAATTAACCCATAGACACAGCCCACTGAATTTCCCGCCGGATCTTCTCAGTGGATCGTGTTTCCAATCCGGTAGTAGATTCTGCGAAGCACTGCTCTTGCTAGGGTCAGTGTTAGCAACACTCCCGGCTTGAGCCCCGTGAGCTCACCTACACACGTTAGGGTGAAGCTGAAATAGCCTCTCAAGGCTATTAGCATAGGGATTAAAAAAAAAAGCAGTAATGCGTTTCGGTTTGAAGGGTGGGGCAGCCGTTATACAGTAAAAACTGAAAACTTAGAACTCATGTCTCAAGGTGGGTGGCGACATTTACGTTATATATGTCTATGGGCTCCAATATGTGGGCTGTCAGCTCATCAAACCATCGAAGCAAGAAAATATTGCTTCACGACATAAACTGATAGACAGGTGGGTAAAACGTTTCTATGCTTACACAGAAAAATGGCGTCAGGCGGAGGAGAGAGCGTTAAAAGAGAAAAGATCGCAGCTGGAACACGAGATAGCTCAGGAAAAAATTAAACTAGAGGTTCGATATTCCTATATGACTAGCTTTATGTTTGTAGCTTCGTTTGTTTTTTTTTCCTACCTAACCTTGCTAAGCCTTGAGAGGCTATTTCAGCGTAACCTTAACTAGTAGGTGAGCTCACGGGGCTCAAACCGGAGTGATGCTAACACTGGCCCTAGCAAGAGCAGTGCTTCGCAGAATCTACCACCGGATCAGAAACGCGACCTACTGAGAAGATCCGAGGGGAAACTTAGTGGGCTGTGTCTGTGGGTTAATTCGCTCGCCGAGCTCTTCGTCGCAAGCGACGGGTTCGACGAGAACGGTGACCGGTGCTTGTGGTGCCTAAAAGCACCGTTAATGGATCGGGAGGATCCGTAATGACGTGTGATTCGTTTAAGTGGACTACACCTTACATTGCTTGACCAGCTATGAGCAATGCCTGCCATGAACACTTCTCTAATAAAAAATTTTGAAATTTTCGTTTTTCACGCAAATCGCTTCACTATGTTAAAAGTATTACAATTAATCATTACTGATGGGGTTCGAAGCAAGAGTAAATCAGGTAATTACACAAAAAAACCATAAATATATCTGCAATAATAAAGATTTTATCAACTTTTATTTAAACGCTCCTCCTGTAAATCTACGAATTTGGAACTAGCGTAGTGTTCATTGGAGGCATCGAGATGTACTTTAGCTTAGGTTCTCGCCTCGGGTTTCAAACTGTTCACATACCAAATTTTGTCAAATTCGATACAGTGGTTTGAGCGTAAAAACGTAACACATAATCATTTTCGTATTCAAATACCTATTGTTTGCCATGTAACTTCTAACATCTAATAGTTTAAAAGTAAATTCCGTTAACCTTAAAATTAAATTAACTAATTTTTAAACAACCCATCTTAATGAAATAAAACCCATGCTCTTCTCCAAATTAATATCTTTGGACCTTTGAAAATAACGTAAAAGTGAAGAAATTAACATGTAGTTCCGCGATCAACGAAACAAACAGACAGAAAATTATTCCTTACTTGTTGACCCGGCAGACTTCGTAGTGCCTCAATCAATAATGTATAACATAAACTTAAAACAAACAAAAGGAATCCGTCCGACGGGGGACACATCAAAGGAAAAACAAAATTGTTATTTTTATTTAATTCCGGGCATTTTCATATTTTTTCACCTTTTAAACCTTCTCTGGACTTCCACGAATAATTCAAGACCAAGATTAGCCAAATCGGTTCAGCCGTTCTTGACTTTTAGCGAGACTAACGAACAGCAATTCATTTTTATATTATTCCTTATAAGAATCGTTGTTATTAATATTCTATGTACTATAAAATATTCTTCACTTCAATGTACAGACACACCCGTTCCTACTATTTTATTATACGTGTTGATGATTTAAAATGTAATCTTTCTTATTCGACCATAAATTTGAACATACATGAACCGCAATTACATAAGGCTACTTATGTAATTGCGGTAATATGTAATGTAATTCGGTAGGCAGCGGCTTGCGGTACGCAGCGGCTTGGCTCTGCCCTTGGCATTGCTGAAGTCCATGGGCGACGGTAACCACTCACCAACAGGTGGGCCGTATGCTTGTCCGCCTACAAGGGCAATAAAAAAATTGCACTTACATTTTTCAGGAACAATTGAAACAGAAACAAGAAGATTTGGAAAAGAGATTTGAGGAGCACAAAAAGGAGTTCGAAGCGGAACAGCAAGTGTTGTTAAAGAAGAAAGTGACGGAAATAGCCGCACAACATAAGCAAGAGCGAGACAGAGAAATTGAAAAAGCCATTGAAAGTATGGAAGCGGAAGCTCAAACGGGCAGGAAGGAACTACAGGAAGCTTTAAGGTAAGCTGAGCATACACTCGGCAGGCAGTAGCTTCGCTGTACCCTTGGGATTGCTGATGTCCATGAGCGACGGTAGATACTCACCATCGGGTGGGCTGCATGCTCATGTGCTCGCAAATGGCAAAAAAATCTACACGATGAATTGCTAATTTAAACTTCTTACGGTATTTGATAAATATGATCCTTTGGAAAATACGTCTGAAGATAGGTAACCGTGCTCACAGTCGTGAACCGGCTGTCGGAGTCCATGGACATCAATAACGTAAATGTCGCCACTCACCCCGACACCTTCCTCGTTTATTTCTATTGATTGTATGTCTTTCTTTCTTCTACATTTCAAACCGTAACCCATGATTGCTTCGTAGTATAATATAGTACTCGGAGAACGCTGCTGTCCAGTTTCCGGCGAGTCCCTCGGTCGGCTCCCACGTCTCCCCCGAGAGGAGACGAAGGTGTTGATCTAAGCCACTTGTATATTGTTGCAACAATTTAGATGCACACGTCGAGTGTAAATGTCACTCAAGAATTCCTCATTTAACGAGAACGCGAGAACAGCGGTTTGCGCAATTTCTTGACTGAAGGGTTTTCGGGGTTTTTTTTTCCTACCTAAGCTGAGAGCCTTGAGAGGCTATTTCAGCGTAATCTTAACTAGTAGGTGAGCTCACGGGGCTCAAACCTAACGACGTTGCTAATACGAACCCTAGCAAGAGCCGTGCTTCGCAGAATCTACCACCGGATCGGAAACGCGACCCACTGATAAGATCCAGCGAGAAACTCAGTGGGCTGTGTCTGAGGGTTAATTTACTTGCCGAGCCCTTCGTCGCAAGCGACAGGTTCGACGAGAACGATGACCGGTTCTTGAGGTACCTAAAAGCACCGTTAGTGGATCAGGAGGATCCGAAATGACTTTTTGTGGGAAGTATTGTATTTGTACCAATCTCAGCGTAGTTCAATAATGGAAGTGCAGGAGGAACAAGGAGCAGTTCGAGTTGGAGCTGAAGGAGTTGGCCGAGACGGAGCAGGCGACGCTGCGTCGCTACCAGGACGCGCAGGCCAGGGTGCGACAAACTGAAGACCGATGTGAGTGGATTATATACTGTACTAGCTGTACCCGTCCGCTTCGCTGGGTATTTAAAATTAACATTATTATTTCGCACTCCCAGAAAGAGTCTCATCATTGACGCCCCCGCAACTGGTGTAGGAAGTCCAACACTCATATAAATATTAGCCTATCCATTAAGTACATGTATTTTCTACACGGATACCATATTTCAAGTCAATCAGATGCATGGTTCAGTAGTTATAACGGAACATCCGTAAAAAGCACTGTAGATTTATATATTAGTCCTCAAGCACCGGTCATCGTTCCCGCTTGCGACGAAGGGCTCGGCAAGCAAATTAACCCACAGACACAGCCTACTGAGTTTCTCGCCGGATCTTCTCAGTGGGTCGCGTTTCCGATCCGGTGGTAGATTCTGCAAAGCACTGCTCTTGCTAGGGCCAGTGCTAGCAACGTCCCTGGTTAGAGCCCCGTGAGCTCACCTACTCGCTCGGTTACGCTAGCATGACCCCCTACGTTACCAGCATAGGAAGGAAAAAAAACTACAATGTCATGATTATTGTGTTTGTTTAGGTGCCGAATTGGAAGTCAGTATTTCACAATTGGAAACGAGAAATAGGATAATGACAGAAGTGAGTATTATAGTCAATTTGTTAATGATTCAAATGAAAGTATTGGATACGTTTGATTTGATGCGTGCAAAAGTCGTCGCGGGTTTTTTTTTTGGTTTTTTTTCTGGTGGTCCAGAAGCCTTTCCAGTTTCACTAGTACAGGTGGGCGAGCAAAGGCTCAGCCAGGAGGGACGGGATTTGCTGCCCGGGAGGAGAGCTAACAACTCAAGAACAATCTACCCGTCGTCGCGGTCTGAAGGATAAGACTTCGAGTGCATTCGTATCGAGCGATGCGTCTGTGCCGGTGTTCGAATCCCGCTGGCAAATACTAGTTTTTTTTAACATAATACGTACTTAAGCCATGTTTACAAAGGACTTCGGAATAACCAGTGTCTTGTTTGTATTCAATTCAAAGTTTGAAGACTATTATAGCCGTTATACTATACAATTGTGATATATTACCCGTGTTTGAAGGTGAGTGGTAGCATTTATATTGCGATATCAATGGGTATCGGTAATCGTTTAACACCTCTATCACCCGTTTATGTATTTAAAAATATTATAAATAGGTAGAAAGAACTAAGCGTTTTGAGATAGCTGTCGTTGTGATTTCTTGAGAAGCACAAAATAAGCGGGTGTATTGTGAAATCATACTCATTCGTCACATATGACGTCAGTTCTATATACTGTTACGCGCTGGGGTTCGGGATAAACAAAATTTCCACCGAAGTACAAATTTAAAATCTATTTAACACTTAAAACACTTAACGAGCACCTTAAAATTTGTCGTCTTCCGTTATTTGATAATAGATGGCGTTGTACTTCTCGAGCGTTCTCGGTATTACTAGTTCTTTTGATATTCGTTTCTGATATTCGACCATAGATGGCGTAACAATACTATCGCAATAATTATAACGTATGTGAACTTTTTGGTGTTAACTCTGAAAAAAGGTTTTTTTTTTCGTAATAATGCGTAATTTTAATTAGTTTTTATAGTATTTCTAAATTAAATATACGTTTGTACGTATTTATAGAAAAACAGTCAATTGGAAGCGAGGGCTGAGGAAGTGAGAGAGAACTGTGAGAAGGTGTGGCAGGCGAAAGTGGACGCATTGAACAAAAATTTAGAAGACATGAAAAGGATCCACGAGGAACAAATGCAACAGCTGTACGCAAAGTAAGTTCACATTAGTTGGCTGTGTAGGGTCAGCCTAGAGTAGAAAACCACTGGAGTTTGATCTATCGTGACCTCTTGCTTGACAGAAATTCAAAGGTTTATTTACTTTGGTTTAGAACAGCTAACAGCCTCGTCCCAATGAGCATTCCGGCTGTGGAATGTCGCTGGTTTCGTCTCGCCCAGCTTCTTCAGCCCCAAATCGAGCTGATCTTTGTTTCTCCTGCACTTCTATTATTGAACTACGCTGAAATTAACTTAATTCAGGTTGCTCCTGATAAAGAATAGCCAATCAGCTGTCTTTTGATGTCTATGTATATGGGTTATGAGTATATATTATATATCTTAGCACAACACGTTATTTCGGATCCTCCCGATCCACTAACGGTGCTTTTAGGGACCTCAAGCACCGGTCATCATTCTCGTCGAAACCGTCGCCCGCGACGAAGGGTTCGACAAGTAAATTAACCCACAAACACAGCCCACTGAGTTTCTCGCCGGATCTTCTCAGTGGGTCGCGTTTCCGATCCGGTGGTAGATTCTGCGAAGCACGGCTCTTGCTAGGGTTCGTGTTAGCAACGTCGTCAGGTTTGAGCCCCGTGAGCTCACCTACTAGTTAAGGTTGCGCTGAAATAACCTCTCAAGGCTATCAGTTTAGGTAGAAATAAAAAAATTAGCACAGATTTGAAAGTGAAAATTGTTTTCTTATTATTAGGGTGAAAGTGGCAGTGGCAAGAAAGGACTCCGCTATACAGGCCCTGAATCGAGAGAACGGGAAATATCAGGAGAAGATAACGATATTAGAACAGAAGTTGCAGCAGCAGCGGAAGGACTTCCTCAAACAGAAATGAACTTGACATTAGTAGTAGTGTTTAGGGAATTTAATAAATAAAGCAATGATAAAGTTATGCAAAATGTTTTTTATTTTTGTTTTTTTTATTGCCCATGTAGGCAAACGAGCATACGGTCCACCTGATGGTGAGTGGTTACCGTCGCCCATGGACTTCAGCAATGCCAGGGGCAGAGCCAAGCCGCTGCCTACCGCTTGTTTGGATCAGTGAAGAGTTGACGGTCCACTTGGTGTTGACCGGTTATCGGAGCTGTCTAACGTGAACGTATTACTGCTTCGCATCAAAAATGGGTACGGTGGTGGTAACTATACAAGTGGACTCACAAAACGCCCTACCAGTAAAAGAAAATTTAGATTATCCTTAAGAGTGCGTGTCGGTTTTGGTTAATAGGAAATTTTTAGAAGTGAAATTTCTTTAAACACCTTGAGAGTAAAATTGAACTCGCGAAAAATTCGTTACGGCTAGAGAGAAAAGATACAATTTAGGACGAGCGAGAGTGAGAAAATAGAGCGTCTCGCGAACCACGACAGTGAAGAGAGGGAAAGGACAAAGTGAGCTAAATTAGGCTAGCGTATGCCCGATTCAATCATATACGATTTGAAAAAATCGTCGAAATATTCAATCACATACGATTTGAAAAAATATTGGATCAAAATTAATAAAATTTATTATTTGAAAAAATCGTCGAAATATTCAATTATATCTTGTCTTCTGAGTCGGTCTCTTCATTACTGAAGGTCGTGTCTAATCTAAAATGTGGACTCGATGCACAATGCTTCCCACGTCTTCCTGTCCTCGGCGGTCTTTATAGCCTCCGTTATTGGCAGGCCGGTGAGCGTCTTAACCAGATCAGACCAGCGGATAGGTGAGCGTCCGCGTGATCTTCTCCCGTCACAGGTTGACGGGAGAAGATCACGTTATAGCAACGATGACATTGTAGAATTTTGTTATCGGGCAAAATAAATACTGCAGCTGATTTTAATATTAATTGTCGATGCACGGACATCGACGATCGCGCGGCGCGGGCGCCGGGAGGAGGACAGCGGCGCGGGGTAGCGGATGGACACCGGCTTCGTCACTTCGTGCAGCAACGCCGCCCGCTACACTTACTTGTTTATCTTGTTTTACCTTTTTTATAAACTTACCAAATACTACAGTCCACTCTTTTATTTTATACATCACCGGTCTACCCCAGAGCAGTTCGAAACATGGTCCTTTAGTTTTGTCAGCTTAAAACTCACCGGAATAAAACCTGTACAACAAACTGTCGGCGTTGGTTGGCCATTTAAAAACGAACGGACNGTCAAGACGAGGACGGGGACCGTGGTGCGAGGCTTCAACTCCATCTGCCCCCTCCCTCTTCATTGAAGTACCCATATATACTTCAACCCGGGCAGTCTGTCGATGCACGGACATCGACGATCGCGCGGCGCGGGCGCCGGGAGGAGGACAGCGGCGCGGGGTAGCGGATGGACACCGGCTTCGTCACTTCGTGCAGCAACGCCGCCCGCTACACTTACTTGTTTATCTTGTTTTACCTTTTTTATAAACTTACCAAATACTACAGTCCACTCTTTTATTTTATACATCACCGGTCTACCCCAGAGCAGTTCGAAACATTAATCTTTTTAATTTTCTTAAAGTAGTAAAGTGACATACCGCACAGGTAAATATCAACATAAGCTTCCTATACGTAAAGTTGTTTTTACATTAAAAATTAAAATACTTCGTTAACGTCTAACGATAACATTGGATCACGCTGAAAAATTAAAAACTAAACTTTGTAAACACCAACAAACCAAAAACGATATATTGACGCATTGATAGGGTTATTAAGGTTATTAATACTGGTGCTAGTTTTGACATTATAAGAACTATCATATCCTATCAGTGCTGGCTCTTGCAATGGCATCGAAATATCGATAGTTCATTAAATGTGAATATCGTGAGGAAAGAACTCGCTTATTTTTTTTTTTTATTGCTTGGATAGGTGGACGACTTCAACTCACCTGTGTGCTTAGTGTGAATTTTTTTACGTTATCGATAGCGTAAAAGTTCACCAAAATTTGTATAAGTTTGAACAGCGCCCCTAGCGGCAAACGTAGGCAAACGTGCCAACTCCATACAAATTTGAGTTAACTTTTACGCTATCGAGAACATTAAAAAACTCATACTAAGAACACTGAGGCGTAGATCTCATATCTCAAGATGAGCGGACACATTTACGTTATGTCTATAGCTCTGGTAGCTGCTTATCACCAGGCGAGCCGTGAGCTCGTGAACATTAGTAGATTTTTTCAAATTTTTTTATTGCCCTTGTAGACAGACGAGCACACGGCCCACCTGATTGCGAGTGGTTATCGTTGCCAATGGACTTTAGCAATGCCAGGGGCAGAGCCAAGCCTACCCATAGTGTGAAATATAAGAGCAATATTTTAAGTGACTGCTATCAGAATTACAAATTTAATGGGTACTAGTATTAGGTACAAATACTAGTATTCATAAAAAAGGGTTATTAATCGATTAAAGTTCTGTTTTCTATATCACAACTTAGATAACTTCGGTATTTTCGTATATAAACATTTGTATATTATTAACGCTACCTTTGTTTTCGTTGGTGTATACCAATCTCATTAGATTTGAAACGATCGACCAAATAACTAAACATTGAATCTTCTTAATAAAATTAATAGAGACAACGTTATTTCAGCCTTAATGCTTGCTAATCACTTGGGTGTCAAATATCTAATAAACTTACACTAGAACTTTATAAGGATTGAGATCTTTGTTATTAATTCAATGCGGTGAACAATAATGTTATTTAAAGCTTCTTTCACAGACAGTCGTTTTTTACCACGAAATCATAATGAATTATATACGAAACCTAAGAAATACTATAATGGCAATTAAAAAAATGCGAGCTTAAACCGTAAAATCAGTTTTAATTATGTCCTCCTGGACCTCGTTGGTCGCGAGACCGTAGAGAATATTGTAAACTTTATTAAGGTTTTTTATATCGTTTCTTTTCAAAATAAATAACTTGTTAAAATGTTTTTTAATCGAGTTATTTTCTTATTATTAGTGTTGTGCTTTTATAATCTTAGTCGTATCTTTTATGTCTTTCCAACAGTAACAACGCTGTTTGTTTGGCCATTCGAAGATCGGTACAACAAAGACTCTGATAACTTGTTCGACTTCTAACTTGAAACGCTTCAGCAAATCACCAGGGTCTCCACATTTCCGAACCGCTCGATGTTCCTTGCCCCGGAGACTTAGAACTCGTATCGGCCTCTTGCCTGGTCTCTCTATCTTGGTCTTTTCGAGAGGATTGCGCTAACGATACCGCCGTGTGACTTATGACCGTCCTAGACGTCGTTGGAAGTGATAATCTTTCGCCAACCGATGGGATACTTTCGGGTATAGTCAATCTCCTTTCAACATAAACCGGATGTCGTTCCGGTACGCGCTTGAAGGCAGATACTTTTTCCGGTGAACGATACATTCTTTTCTCTGGCATTACGGGTGTCCCCTCCGGGTCTACTCTGGGCAGTTTCGGTATCGGCCCAGTCAAGTCGACCATCGGTCTTTTAAGCTTGTGCCGTATCGAATAATCTACCGCCCTCTTAGGGGACGCGTCTATCCCTATTTTGTAGTTTTCAACGTCTATAACTATGGACAAAGGTTCCATGTATTTTTTGGTCTTCAATGCTTCCTGTTTCAAAGTTTCGGGTGATATCGTCGTTGAAGATACTGTAGGTTTTTGGGTTTCGGGGCTCGAGTCTTGATCCGAGGCGGACCTGCTCGGCGGCGTCGGAAAGGGGAATGCTTGGACCGGACGTGGAGGAGTTTCTAGTTCAGTTGAGGAGTCGCAGGCGGAGTCGCAGGACAGCGGACTCAGAGGCGGACTGGTCGGTCTTAAAGATTTGACGAAATGGAAGGCGCTCGGTCGGTCGTCGTCCAGCCTCAACGGATCAGGAACTAGTGACCCGTAATCCACCGGGGGATGCAGTCTTTCGATCCCCGATATACAAGACGTGAGGTGGTTCCCGAGCCGATGCCTTAGTCCGGTGGGAACGCTGGCTAACCGTGACAGGTACCGGCGTACCTCGACCGCGCAGTCGCCGAAGCCGGACTTGAAGCGCTGCAGCACGGCGGGGTCTGCGGCTATCGCGGCCGCCAGCTGCTGGCGCTGAAGTTTCTGAAGGTGCTTCACAGTAAGCTCCAAGATGTCCGCCTTTTCGAGCTTCGAGTGACGAGTTGGCTGTAAGATAAGAGATTGTGGTGTTTAAGAACGCACCTTTTTATGATGCGTAATCCGGAACGCACGAGAGGTGGAAAAAAGAAGATACTTAGTCTGTGACACGGGACCTTTTTACCGCCGAAAATACATAGGACAAATAAATAATAATGTGTATAACTTAGAACTGTGTAAGCCGCTGCAACAATAAAACTCCTATTGTTTTAACTGTGGTGTTAATTACGAGTGATCCAAACACGCGATTTTCCCGCGAAATAAAGAAGGGACTCCATACGGACTTATTATCATTACATCTTGAAGACTGCCTCAAGATGTAATGATAATAACTTAAAATTTCATTATGTTTAACTTTTTTTTATTGCTTAGATGGGTGGACGAGCTCACAGCCCATCTGGTGTTAAGTGGTTACTCTGGAGCCCATAGACATCTACAAAGTAAATGCGCCACCCACCTTGAGATATAAGTTCTTAGATCTCAGTATAGTTACATATATACAGTATAGATAGTTTTTTTTTTATTGCCCTTGTAGGCAGACGAGCATACGGCCCGCCTGATGGTGAGTGGTTACCGTCGCCCATGGACTTCAGCAATGCCAGGGGCAGAGCCAAGCCGCTGCCTACCGCAACTATTAAACTTGTACATTTTTTATTTGCATATACCCACATCTTTCTCAGAGTCCAGCAACAAGTCTTTGAGTTCGTTCAGACAGCGATTTATCCGAGCGCGCCTTTTCTTCTCCATTATGGGTTTGTTCGTCTAGAAAAGGGGAAAAAAAAACGTATAATAGTAATCGCTCTTCTCTACATGAAATCGCAGATTCGATTAGGAACGTACCGACTTCCGGGCAAAAGGAAATAGTTCCGCTCCAAAAAAAAAAAGACGTACCACCATTTTTCAGTTTTCGTTTGTCGTGGTTGGTCAGCATGTTATTAATTAATTGTTATTGTCAAATGAGTTTTAATGGGTGGCGGCTTCGGTTGCATTTAAACTGGCTTGTCTGCCAGCGCAAAACTATGAAACAAAAAATTTAAAAAATGCCATAATCTGTGAAGAAATAATTTTGTCTCGATAATAATTATTTTCGTAAACTTTTAACTAATACTTCATGGTCAACGTCTTAATGTCACGCGAGATTTAAATTAAGAACTATTATTGTAGTAGTACTAGTATTGCAATTTGGANTTCGGTTGCATTTAAACTGGCTTGTCTGCCAGCGCAAAACTATGAAACAAAAAATTTAAAAAATGCCATAATCTGTGAAGAAATAATTTTGTCTCGATAATAATTATTTTCGTAAACTTTTAACTAATACTTCATGGTCAACGTCTTAATGTCACGCGAGATTTAAATTAAGAACTATTATTGTAGTAGTACTAGTATTGCAATTTGGAACATTTAATGAATTTTAAAATATAGGTACGTTTTTTTTTCTACGCTGAAGGTATCGTGAACAAAAGTGACCTTATTGCAAACGAATTTGGTGCTAAATTTCACAACTCATTATTTTTTATTCCATTTATAATTTCACTAAATATTTACGAACGTTTTTGTAGTAACGTTTGTGTTTCTGTAGTACCTAAGTTCTTTTGTAGTAATTTAATTAACGATTTTGTTTTTAAATTACATATATATTGGAATTAATACCAGTAAAATTTTATAAAAATACAGTTAATAAATTGAAAACAATTTAAAATAATTAAATCGTCAATTTATGGGTAATTTGAATTTGAATTTGAAAGATGCGTTTTAATTATCCCTATTAAAATAACGAATGTTACATTTCTCTTACCTTTCTTAGCTCCGCTTTTGACATTCCTGGGGTTGGTTCGGAGATGAACCCGGTTTGCGAATCATCGTCTTCACTGGTAGGCATTTTGACACTCATAAAAATATTTATAAATAAATATAATTCACAGGACGACCAGTTCTCGGAATTAAAAATAATTAACTAATAAGATAACGAGCCATTACAAAAAAAAATAGAACACGTCCCCCCTCTATGGAGGTCAGACGAACTGTGTGAAAGTATTGCACGTATGTAACGTAGGAATAAAAATTTCAATTTGCCCTCTTTCCTGATTCATCCCGGTTGGTGGCTGCAACGAGGAAATACGCTTGTCTCTTTCTAACACGTTTCAGAAACGCGTGGGAACTGTGTCGGAATGTTTTGTTTTCGTTCCGTCTCGCTCGCTCGGTTAACCTGTTGTGAATGGGAGCTATGGCTTAGTGGTTCAACGTAGAGTTGAGTTTGAGTTCGATTCGGTGTGTACCAATTAGATTTTTAAATGTGCTATTTGAATGTTTATAGAGCTGAGCTCAACAGACACATATTAATTGACAATAATATAAAAAATAACCTTTAAGAATATTAAGACCATTCAGAAAATATGAAGGGATAAGATAAAGCAAAAACAAGTTTTATTATTTAAAATAATTTAATAAGTCAATTAAATAACTAATAACGTAATTGCATATAAAGTAAATAAGTTATGTATATATTATTATTAAAACTTATTATTTTCTTAATAGAAACATCTTGTTGTCACCTCGTTGACCTAAAACCGAACACTACAAACTTAAATGCGGGATTAGTGGGTTGAAAAAGTTCTACTAAACTAAGTAGTGAAGAAACTAATGCTACTTTTAAGAGTATCATTTTTATTTAATTTAGGAATTAATCTTGAAAAAGAATAACACAAAAAAATAAAATTTTCGTTTATTTTGTTGTCTTGGTGTTGAGCAATAAAATAATAATATAAATCTACAAAAATATAATTTACAAAATTTAGAAATTAAAAATGTTTTTAATCATAAATTTTCTTTAAACAAAATATTATTTTTATATGAATAAAAGTGAAGCTACGCGCGGCGCTCCCCTATCCTGTATTGTATGGGAATGCTACACCGTATACGCGTTCAGGAAGCACCGGAATTATTTCCCACGCACTCTTCAATTATAAACTTGGTACTTTCTGAAACGCACCCAGTCCATGAAGTACGTTATTCCTTCGTTCGAAACACCTTGATAAATAACACGGTACTTCATGAACCCCGTGTAGCGTAAAGGGAAGGTGAACATGAAGTATGCTGTTTTTGTATATGAAATTTGCTGGCGATTGAATACGGTTCTTTATGGAGGGTTGTGAACGGTTCTCACGATGTGTGGGAATGTTTGAAGGTGCAAGGGTTGGTGTCCTCTAGCGTGTAGCTTTCTTTGTGGACTTGAGAATTTCGCAACACTATCGATGTATTTTTTTGATAACGAAAAAAGGTCAAGATATTTTTTGTTTGCGCTTAGATTAATTGTAGTGCTTATTAGGTAGGCATTGCCATTCTGCTATTGTGTGCTGCCACTAATATTCGCATCGATGTCTATCCGATCCGCTACCCACTTAACATCAGACGGGTTGTGATCAAGTAATTATGAAATTATGTTTTTTAGACAGTGACTTTCGAATTACCTCTTTCGTGACAGATGACTGTGTTCGAAGCTTAGACAAATTAAGTACGAAATTGTTGATACTCAAAAAAGGCGAAATCACGAACCCATATTTTCAACCGAAATATTTATTACTTAAGTCACACACCAATTAACTCCTGCTCAAACCTAACTACGTAATTAATGCGTAGTTATTTACATACACAATACGGTTCATTGTCGTTCATAATTCCAGGTGTATCCGTAACCTTTTAAACTTATACATATTTCATATTGATTAGCCCTACGCTTTCTCCCACGGTGCGTCCACTACTGAAACCAACATAAAAATACAAACGACAATCTAAAACTTCGATAGAACATTGAAGGAATATTCCAAATTCGAATGCATTTTTAAAATTGGCGGCAAAACGCAATGCATTTTTGCTAATAACACAATACTGCACGACCTTATCCTTTAGACGACACGCTTCAGAATTGAATGTCGAAGAGGAATCAACTTTTGTAATTAGAACAATTTTAATTTACGTACACAATTCTAGTATATAGACTCTAACGCTTTTGAAAAAAGGTTGAGTATGGTTTGTTTAATTTGAATTTAGCAGTAAATAAATTAGTTTCGTGCGGCAACCGAGTGTGACCTGTCCCCACGCGATTGCGTGACGTCTTTTATTAATTGTGAACAACTCGTCAGTCGTCACTCGTCACATGGCGTTGATGTGTGCAACAGGACGCTGGGAAAACAAGCAACCGAAATCGGTTTTTCGGATCAGTGTGCTGTGTGTTTAGTGCGAGTTCTTTAACGTTCTCGATAGCGTAAAAGTTAACTCATATTTGTATGGAATGGGATCGTTTGCGCACGTTTGCCGCTAGGGGCGCTGCTCCAAATGCATACAAAATTGGCTTAACTTTCACGCTATCGAGAGCGTTAAGAAGCTCGCACTAAGCACACTTAGCTAGTTAAGTATAGCGCGTAAAATTTAACTCAAATCTGTATGGAGTTGGAGCAGCTTCCTTTCATTTGCCGCTAGGGACGGTGTTCCAACTCCATACAAATTTGAGTTAACTTTTACGCGATCGAGAAGTTAAAAAAGTCGTACTAGTCACACAGAAAAAATCCGGTGACCACATATAACAGTACATTTGGATTGAGTCTACCGAGTGGTTGGGTTACCAACGTCTAGCCAAGTTCTGTCTCCAAATAATGAAGTACTAAAGCTTGTTACCAGCTATGAAGACTTTGAATCTCTATCTCGAAATGCGATATCACAATAAAAGATCGATAAAAAGTACATTCGTAAACGAATCATTATCTTCAGTGTAACTTACTGATGGTAGGACCTCTCTTACTAATGGTAGGACCTCTTGTAAGTCCGCGCGGGTAGGTACCACCACCCCGCCTATTTCTGCCGTGAAGCAGTAATGCGTTTCGGTTTGAAGGACGGGGCAGCCGTTGTAACTATACTGGAGACCTTAGAACCTATATTTCAAGGTAGGGTGGCGCATTTACGTTGTAGATGTCTATGGGCTCCAGTAATCACTTAACACCAGGTGGACTGTGAGCTCGCCCACCCATCTAATGTATTTTCAAGTTAATGCACACAGTTACACTTAACGGACGGGCCGAATGACCGTTCACTAAAAAAAAATATAATTACCTCCTCGAAAATACAAAAATAAATTTCAATGCGACCTAAATACCCTATGAGGCAAACTTCATAGTTCTCTTAAACTGGAGCGTGTGAACTACTTAGAAACTTACAACAAAATCGTAACGGAACAACTTCCTTCCTCGCTCAGATCAAGGGCTGTAATTTATTAATGAAAAAAAAAAAAAACCAGACGAAGTGGGATCAGCGACCCTCTTTTGAGATTTAAAGATGTGTCAGTTCACAGGGGTGCGGTCATTTTTATCACAAAGTTCTTTTTTTTTATTGTCAGATCCCGGAGCGTAGCGTTCGTATCCGTACTATTGGTAATTAACAAATTTAAATTTGTTTTACAATTAGTTCATTTAAACTGTTCGAAACTTCGAAAATAATAAACACGAGAATAATTAGTAAAGGTTAAATAAATAGTAAATCACCCTTCGGTTTGTAGGGTGGGGCAGCCGTTGTAACTATAGGTACTTGAGACCTTAGAACTTATATCTCAATGTGGGTGGCGCACTTACTATGGGCTCCAGTAACCACTTAACACCAGGTGGGCTGTGAGCTCGTCCACCCATCTAAGCAATAAAAAAAGCAGTTTTAATTGAGTATTTACTGACTTTGGTACAAACAAACAAACAAACAACGAAGAAATTATCATAACAAAATATGCACTTTACAATACTTACGAACAATACAATACTTATGGATACGTTACATCATTGATGTAACAAAACTTTTAATTTCATTATTCAAATCTCGTCCGGTTTTTTGTTGTTGTTTCACATGGAAACAGGTGTCTACAAAAACATCCCTTTGCCCACATCAACTCGTTTTTATTGAGTTTTGTACAAAAAGACTCGTATCCGGGGCTGTTTCCGGGTCGCGTCCAAGATCACAAAAAAAAAACGATTTGATTGATTCTTAAATATTTGTGGATATGCTCGTTAAATGAACGTGGGAATTTCTAATATGAAAGTCAAAACTTACGATCTAGTTTTTCCAATTTGACACGTTTGGTACAACACAGTTTAGTAGGATCTATGTACCTACTTTTCCCACGCTTTTTATGACTGACAAAAATGCATTGTTATCGTTAAAAAAATAATCTAATCATTGATATTAATTCATCAAAATTAGATGTTTTATGTGATAAGTGTAACAATTAACGCCATCCATCTAGATAATTTAATTAGATGTAGATAGTTGATATCTTTCGTATTGCTAATAAAATAAAAACTAAGTCATCTCACTTACACCAATGGTCAAAGTATTTACTCAAACTTTGAACGTTTAATTTTATTTTTATTACCTACCCAGGGATGAAATCCTGGGACTGCGCATGCGCGTACACTAGCGAAAGATCAGTTTTATTTATGGAGGGTAGAGGTTTTAGGTACTATGACGGTCACCTAGCACTTCGATTACTCGTCAAAAATGTCAATGTGTAAAATTTAAATTCATTTCTTCGGTTTTCATGAGTTGATCTAATACGTACTTAAGACGTAACCACGAAAACTGTTAAGTTTTTGAAAATAATCATAGTTAATAGTACACATAAACTATCTAAGAGCTAAAATTAATGCCGATAAACGCGAGATAAAACCGTAAAAGCAGTTTTGGTTAAAGTAAATGTTTTTCAATAACAATTGACAAAGGTAACAGAAACGTACCGCCATCATACTTACATTATTACGTCGGAATTAAGGCTCCTCACATACAGACCCATATTCCCACGGTGCGGTGACAGGTGCGAGTTATCGCGGCTCAACGTGGAGGATTTTACAAAAATACACC